AGTGAGCCAAGAATGCACCACAGCACTCTAGCCTGGTTGACAGAGTGAGACCCCATCTCAAAAAACCTTCCCCAAAACAAAAGACAAAAACATAGACAGCTTGGAGAACACTGGGTGGGGTGTGGATGTAGGTCATTCCGGACTCCCAGGACTTCTCATAATTGAGAACTGATCCAATCCTGGAAAATTCCAACGTGTTGTCTCACTGACAAGAGCACCTGTCACCTGCCCAGTCATGACCACACTGTACCTCTCACAGCAATGCCTGGCCTGGCCAAGCCTGATATACCTGAAGTGCCACTCTGCCTCTGCTCTCATAGTCCCCACTGCATAGAAAGACCTTTGGGGGCAGCATGGGGCATGTCATCATAATCTATATCAAACTCACACCTATATTTTTGCCTCTCCTGCGTTATGAGACCAGAACTTTCCCTATGACCTTGAAGGGCTCCTAAGCTACCTCCTCCATCCCCTGTCCTCTAACACACCCAGTCTATCGCATCCCTTCTCTGGACCCAGGAGCTCTGTTGCTGGGCCAGTGTGTTTGCACATTCTCCTGTCTTCCCTAAGAACATCCCTTATTCTTACTCCTCTTGTGTAAACCTCAGCCTTAAAAGCTAGACTCAAGTTTATCCTCTGCCACAATGCCCTACTTTGAATCATTCTGATTTCCTACTTTATTTGTTCTCAATTTACAAAGATGTCTCCTCAAATAGTTGTTAGTTGACTTCCTTGGGCTTGAGATCCTCGATCATGTGACTCATTCACCAGGGCTCTAAAATCTCAGGCAATCCTCCCAAATCTAAGTGGAGACTTGCTATTTAGAATGGAACATAGGAATCCAGTAGGTATGAGATGAAGAACTACAAGCAAAACCTCCTCAACAAGGTTAGGACCGGACATGGTGCTCACATCCCAAATCCCAGCACTTTGGGAGGCTGAGGCGGGCAGATCACCTAAGGTCAGGAGTTTGAGACCAGCCTGGCCAACGTGAGAGATGTTTTATTAGAGATGGCAAAACCCCATCTCTAATAAAAATAGAAAAATTAGCTGGGCATGGCGGCGGGTGCTTGTAATCCCAGCTACTCGGGAGGCTGAGGCAGGAGAATCGCTTGACCTGGGAGGCAGAGGTAGCAGTGAGCTGAGATCACACCACTGCACTCTGGCCTGGGAGACACAGCAAGACTCTGTCTCAAAAACAAAAACAAAAATTAGCCAGGTGTGGTAGCAGATGCCTGTAATCCCAGCTACTCAGGAGGCTGAGGCAGGAGAATCACTTGAACTGGGGAGGTGGAGGTTGCAGCAAGCCGAGATCACGCCATTGCACTCCAGCCTGGGTGACAGAGTGAGACTTCATCTCAAACAAAACAAAACAAAAAAACAAAAACAAAAAACCAACAGTTAAACACAGGGAGGTGGGCCAGGCGCAGTGGCTCACGCCTATAATCCCAGGACTTTGGGACGCCAAGGTGTGTGTATCATAAGGTCAAGAGATTGAGACCATTCTGGCCAACATGGTGAAACTCCATCTCTATTAAAACCAAAATTAACCGGGCGTGGTGGCGCACACCTATAGTCCCAGCTACTCAAGAGGCTGAGGCAGGAGAATCACTTGAACCCAGGAGGTGGAGGCTGTAGTGAGCCAAGTTGGTGCCACTGCACGCCAGTCTGGTGACAGAGCGAGAATCTGTCTCAAAAAAAAAACAAAAACAAAAACACAGGGAGGTGGATCAATGAGAGATACATGAACAGAGAGAGGTGGGGAAGGAAAGTAACCCAAGAAAATAGCAAGGGGAAATGACAGGGTGTGGCTCTGTCGCCCAAGCTGGAGTGCAGTGGTATGAACATGGCTCACTGCAGCCTTGACACACTGGGCTCAAGCAATCCTCCTGCCTCAGCCTCCTGAGTAGCTGCACTCACATGCGCATGCCGCCATGCATGGCTGATTTTTAAAATTTTGTAGAGATGGAGTTTCGCCTGCTGGTCTTGAACTCCTGCGCTCAAGTGACCTACCTACCTCGGCCTCACAAATTGTTGGGACTGCAGAAGTGCAACCGCACCCAGCTTATTATATTTTTTTAAACCTTTTTTTTTTACTCTGTCCAGACAAAACTGTTTCATTAGTAGGCTGAAGAGAGAATGTGGTGTACAATAAAGAATAATTCTCTACCAGACACCGTTGCTCATGCCTGTAATCCCAGCACTTTGTGAGGCCAAGGCGGGCGGACCGCCTGAGGTCAGGAATTCGAGACCAGTCTGGCCAATATGGCAAAACCCCGCCTCCACTAAAAATACAAAGAAAAATTAGCCGGGTGTGGCGGCGCGTGCCTGTAGTCCCAGCTACTCGGGAGGCTGAGGCAGGAGAATCGTTTGAACCCGGGAGGCAGAAGTTGCAGTGAACCGAGATCGTGCCACTGCACTCCAGCTTGGGCGACAGAGCGAGATTCCATCTCAAAAAAAAAAAAACAACGACCCTCCAGGATCTCGGTCTGTTGCCTAGGCTGGAGTGCAGCAGCACATCTCAGCTCATGGCAACCTCCGCCTACAAGCGATTCTCCTACCTCAGCCTTCTGAGTAGCTGCGACTACAGGTGCGCTGCCACACCCAGCTAATTTTTTTTTTTTTTTTGAGACAGTCTCGCTCTGTCACTCAGGCTGGAGTACAGTAGTGTGATCATGGCTCACTGTAGCATTGGCTTACCAGGCTCAAGCGATTCCCCTACCTCAGCTTTCCAAGTAGCTAGGACCACAGATGTGTGCAGCCATGCTCAGCTAATTTTTTTTTTTATTATTATTTTTAGAAACACAGTTTCCCTATGTTGCCAGGGCTGGTCTCAAACTCCTGGGCTTAAGCAATCCTCCCATGTCTGCCTCCCAAAATGCTGGGATTACAGGCTTGAGCCAATGCACCTAACTTTGGATTTTTTTACAAAAACTTTTAGCATTTTAAAGATATTGTCTTATGACCTCCATTGTTTCTGATGAGAAGTCAGCAATAATTCAAATTGTTTTCCTATAGGTAATATATCATCTTCCTCTGGCTGCTTTAAAGATTTTCTCTTTAATCTTGGTCTTCAGCAGCTTGATTATGATATGCCTAGGTGTGGTTTTCATTGAATATGGCTTTTGGTTTGCTGACATTTCTGAATCTGTTTGCTTTTTATCAAATTTGGAGATTTGTTATTAGTTAATAAAAATAATATAAATTATATAAAAATAAAAATAATAAAATAATATAAAATAATATAATAAATAAATAGGTGTTGCGTTATTTTTCACTCTAAAATACTTTACTAAATATTTATTATTTAATATATTTATAAATATTTATATTATCTTAATAATTTTACTTCATTCTTATG